CCCGGCGCCCAGGCCAGGCGAGGCTGAGGCCAGGGCTGGGGGGGAAGAAGCCCCGAGCAGAGCCCAGGGAGCGACTTGGTCAGCCGGCCTGCTGCTCAGAAACTCTCGTTGCCCACGCCCCGGGCAGGGGGGTGCGCTGACCCTTTCCTGGGACCAGATTCCTCTTGCATCAGGACTGGGAATCTGTCACCGAAAGCGTACCTGCGGTGGGGAAGATTCTGTGCTGGGGAGAGCGAGAGAGTCTGAGTGTTTCCTGCTTGTGAGACGTATGCATGCCAGGCACTCGCTGCTCTAAGCACTTCAGACGCCTTGTCACACTATGTGACCTTCCTAACAGCCTCTGAGTTAGGCACTGTTATTACCCCTCATTGCAGAAGAAAACTGAGGCTCAGGGAGGCTGAGCGAGTTGCTATGGTCACACAGTTAGGGTGTGGCAGAGCTGGGCCTGGACCCAGAGGTCATGCCTTTGACCGTCTGGGTGAGTGTGTGTGTGTGTGTGTGTGTCTGTGAGTCCCAGGACTCAGGTGCGAGGCCATCGCTCCAGGTGAGGGCTGCAGGAATTCTCACCTTGACTGGGAGAAGGCTAGGGTGGGCACTCAGGGGCCGGAGGGTCCCTCACCGGCCTCTCCCCTTCCGCAGAGTCCCAGATCTTTCAGCCCGACTGGCTCTCGAAGGGCCAGCATCCAGGCAAGAGGGAGGAGGCAGAAGAGGGAGTTGAAGAGGAGGAAGGATGGGCTGTGGGGCCCCACAAACGGCAGCACCCAGGCCGGCGGGACGAGGCAGCTGTGTGGCCCGAGGACGGGACCCAACAGAAGCGGCAGCACCCTGGCCGGCGCTCCTCCTGGCTGGGCTATGCTTTCACCAAGAGACAGCACCCAGGCAGGCGGCTGGTGGACCCCAAAGCCCAGGGGCGCTGGGAGGAAGAGGAAGAGGAGATGGAGGGGGAGCTGATGCCTGAGAAACGCCAGCATCCCGGCAAGAGAGCCTTGGGGGGCCCGTGTGGGCTCCAGGGAGACTGTGGTCAAGCCAGCCTCCTGCTGGGGCTCCTGGGTGACCTGAGCAGGGGCCAGGGGCCTGAGGACAAGCGGCAGCACCCTGGGCGGCGGGCAGCCTGGATCAGGGAGCCCCTGGAGGAGTGAGCCCAGTTTCCTGTGAAGTCAAGTTTGGGGTCTAGGAATGTCTTCAACCCTGTGTGCCCTAACCCTTTGTGACCCTTCTTTCCCTACTCCTTAGATCCCTGATCATAAACCTGAGCCCTCTGTATGCACACACCCAAACCCCTGGCCTTGCCCCCCTCTTTTAGGGACATGAGAAAGCCATCCTGTGAGTTAAAACCCCATATTACTCCACTTCGCATGGCTGGCAAGGGGGCAGATCCCAGAGACCCTCCCCCACCCCACAGGCCTGCTCCCCTGCCTTAGCCCTGGCTAAGATGATCCTTCTGTGTCTTCTAAGGTATTCCCAGAGAAGGGCAGAGCACCTCTGGGGCAAGCAGCCAGTGAGGGTGGGGTGCAGTTGAAGTGGTAATGTCCAAATCTAGCTTCCATCCCCTGCCCCACGTATCAGGATTCGCCACATGTAAACTTTACTTTGTCCCCAGAACCCAGGGTCTCCTCCCCTTCTTGGGTTTCTTGGGTGTTTTGGGGGGGGGAGGGGGGGTGGCAGCACCTGACCCATAGCTGTGTTCTCCTTGCGGAAAGCATGTTAGGTCGAGACCCCCTGTGGTGCTGTGTTGTGTGATAGCTGTGGAATAAATGTGCGTGGGGATATGTAAACATCTCCCTGAAAGTTGTGGGATAAACATGTATGTGGGAATATGTAAACATCATCCTGGATGTTGTGGCTTGTATATAACCTGCTAGGCACCTTCTCCTTGTCAATGATAACCATCTTAATGATAATAAAACACACATCTAGATAATCATGGAGCTCTATGGTTGCGGTTCTGTCTCAGCTGATGTGGGGTGTCTCTTTTCATCATTGAGAGGGGACAGGACTAGAGCTCCCTGGCTCTGCTGAGAAGGGAATCAGGGATCCTGGGGGATGAAAAGTCCCCCCCATTGCTCCCATCTCAGAACAAGCTTGGGAGGTGAACCAGGACTCTGGAGCCCATTTGACACCTCAGGAAACTGAGACCTGGAGAAGAGGAAGGGCTTTCTGGAAGACACAAAGCTGCTGAGGTGGAGCCATGGGCCTTAGAGACCAGCTCAGGACCCTGCCTTGAGTTTGCCTATGTTGGTGAAAGGGGTGGTCTGGCTCAGGTTTGTGATCAACATAGCTCTGTGGTAGGAATCAACAGGCTGTGTCATCTGGCAGGCAAAATGAGGACAAAGGCTAAGGCTGGGGACTCAAACCAGGGGCCTTCTGGGGCCAGGCAGGGAGGCAGGCTGAGTACAGGACAAGAGAGAGTCATGGGGACTGGGGCAAACTGAATAGGCCATCTAAAGACACTTAAATCCAAACACAAACACACACACACACACACACACACACACACACACACACAAAATCCAGTCACTGGGGCTTTATTGTAAGTCCATGCCAGGCATGTGGCTTTATCCTTAAATCTATATGCTACTCCCCAAATCCCCTCTCACACACATAACTTTCGCTCAGCCTAAGATGCTGAGATGGCAGAGATAGTCCACGTGTTTCCCTACATTTTCCAGTCTCCCTTGAAGTTGGGGTGGAGTCATATGATAAGCCCGAGCCAATGGGCTGTGAAGAGAAGGGTGTCACTCCTGGGCTGAGGCAGTTAGAGTCCATGAATCTCCTTTACCCCTTTCTTCCTGCCACAGAAGCCTGGGAGGCCACATGCTGAAATGGTAGAGCATGTGACAGAGGGATTCCAGACCCTGGCATCACCAGATGGAAGTTAGATACTGCTCACCCACATTAGGCTTCTCATGTGTAGGAAATGAACTTGTGCCCGGCAGGGCGTGGCTCAGCGGTAGAGCGTCAACCTAGGATCCAGGCGACTGGGGTTCGATTCCTGGTCAGGGCACATGCCCTGGGTTGTGGGCTCGATCAATGACTCTCTCATCATTGATGTTTCTATCTCTCTCTCTCCCTTTCCTTTCCTCTCTCTGAAATCAATAAAGATATATTTTAAAAAAGAAAAAAAAGAAATGAACTTGTGTTGTATTAAGTCACTGAGATTTCAGGGTTTATTTGTTACTTCAGCTAAACTTAGCCAATTCTGACTAATACAAATGCCTCTCCCTTGTTCTTTCTCCACTAAGATCTGTGTCATCTTTCCCTTCTCATATGTGTCTGCCTTCATCAAAGCTGCCTAGGTCAGGGCCTGGCACGAAGTAGGTGCTCCATAAATATTTGTTGAATGGATGTCAAAAGCTTCAAGTCACTTCTATGTTAATTCCCCAGCCTGAATTTCCCAGGCTCTCTGCCCTTAAGGAAGTTGCCATCCAGTGGGGAGACAGGCAAGCAAACAGATGATGACTACTTAGTGTTTTGGACCCTCGCTTCCCACCACCTCCTCCCATCCCATTGTTTAGCCCAGGCTTTGTGTCTTATCCATTTCTCCCCCTCTCCCTGGTTCAGTCCAGTCCCCACACAGACACTTTGATTGCCATAATTCAGAAGTGTTAAAAACAGTGTGGTTTGGGGTAGAATTGAGGAAGCCTTCCTGGGGAAAGGGACACTTGGGTTGAGCTTTGAAGGGTAAAAGAAAAATTAAAAAATTTCTGAGCATTTCCTCTGGGGCCAGACATTGGGAAAAGCACTTTGACATCCACTGCACATGATAGGTGATTTGTGAATATCTGTTGAATGAATGAATTACTCATCATAGTCACCCTGATTTAGAGGAAATATAACTAAGAAAGAAGTAAAGTGACTTATCTCAGCACATGAGTCTGAAACTTGGGGGTGGTCTCCATGCCTCTAGTCCTCTATCATCCAGTTTTTACCATGTCCTAGACATGTCTCAAATCCCATTTCCTTTTGGCTCCTCTGCCACCACCATCTCAAGACTACAGTTGCCTCTTCACTTGTCTCTGGCTTCCACTGTTGTCCCCTAAGCTCATTCTCTATACATAGCCAGAGGGACCTTCTTGAGGTAGAAATCTGATCGTGGCAACCACCCTGCTTAAGACCTCTCAGTGGCTTCCATTTCACCTAAGATAAAATCTAAATTATTTACCATGGCCCACCCAGTTGACCTCCTTTTTGTTTCCTGAACAGACCTTAGGGTTTGCGTTCATGTTATTCCCTCTGTCTAGAGACCTCTTTTCTCCTACTTCTCGTATTCCTCACATTACCTCCTAGAGTGCCTTTCTGTATTGTGGAGGCTGGAAAGCAAAGACTGCATTTCCCAGACTCCCTTGCAGCTAGATGCTCTCATGTGAGATTTAGAAATCTGCTTTGACTATTTCTGCTGGAAAGCAAGGCAATAGTGATGTGTGGTGTTTCTGCAGCAGCTTTCTGGTGTCCAAAGTCCAGCTCTGGGAATATCTAGAGTCACTTTCTGATAGCAGCTTTCTGGCCAGCTTCACAGTTACTGTAGTATGTTCCTTTTTTTGTTTGTTTAGTTTTTAAACAAGTTCTTTTTACTATTTAAAAATTTTATTTTATGTATCATAATATTTAGTAATTTCAGGCATATAATTCAATGATTTTCAGTAAATTTACCTAGTGGTACAACCATCACCATAAATCAGTTTTAGAACATTTTCAGACCCCCAATAAGATCCCTTTGCCCACTTATAATTAATCTTCCTCCCCATCATCAGCCTCAGGCAACCACTAACTACTTTCTATAAATTTGCCTTTTTTAGTTGTTTTATACAAATAGAATCATATAATATGTGTTTCTTTTGTCCTGGCTTCTGCCAATTAGCATAATGTCTTGAAGTTCATTCTCGACGTAGCAGTGTGCTTTAGTAGTTTATTCCTTTTTATTACTGTACTCCAACCAGTGAGGTTTCTTTTTTGTTTTTGTTTTTCTTTTTTTATTGATTTCAGAGAGAGGAAGGGGGAGAGAGAGAGATAGAAACATCAATGATGAGAGAGAGTCATTGATCGGCTGCCTCCTGCACGACCCAGCTGGGGATCGAGCCCGCAACCCGGGCATGTGCCCTGACCAGCAATCGAACCTTGATCTCCTGAGTCCTAGGTCAATGCTCAACCGCTGAGCCACTCTGGCTGGGCCAAGCAGTGAGTTTTTGAACTCAATAATCCCTATGGCAGCCTCCTCACATCCTGCCTTCCGAATTAGAAACAGAGAAACAGCTTCCCTGGCAGGTTGCTTCTGTGGTATCATTCTACAGGTCTGCTCCCCAAGCCCTTTGATGATTTCCTAAGTGTCTAATTCCAAGAGCAACAGTCAAAATATTCAACAACTGGTACAACATAGGCACAAGCCAGTCAGGTCACATGCCCGTCAGGATAGGTGGAGTCTGACACACCTGTGAGGCCACAGCAGTACAAGGAGCTGAACGCTTGCTGTGTTCATCTTCTTCACTTAACGTTTCCAAAATGGTTCCTGTTTGCTCTGCGGAATCCTGATGATTCACACTAGGTAACTCTTCCTCCTCCTTAGATGTCACTTCAGACAACACCTTGTGGGATGTGGCACTGCATCCCACTCCTTCCTTGCAGCTATCACAGTTTGTAATTGTATCTGTCTTAGGTTGGAATCCCCAAGCAACAGACCCTGAGATAGGATTTGAGTGCAAGTAGTTTACTCGGAGGGTGATCCCAGGAAACACTGGCTTGGGAATGGGGGAGTGATCCAGGGAAGGAAAATAAATGAATGGGGCATGAGTTAGAGGGCCGTTTTTCCTTGGGAAACTGTGGAATAGGCCTCAGAATTGTCCCACTCCACAGGTTGAGGAAGTTGGAAATATTCTTCTGATTTCCAGTCGATCAGGAGTTGAGGGCTGCTCCTGGAGATGTTAACTCCCTGGTACTTACAGTTTGCCCTGTGCCCTGATCTCAAGAAGGCCCTTCGGTGAAGAATCTCAGGATAACATTGTATCCACCGCAAAGGTGAGAGCTGAGAGGACAGAGTGAGGTCCCAGAAGCATCTGCCACAGTCTTCTTTAGTTATTTTTTCATAAATGGCTCCTCCTTCACCAAACTCTGTGCTCCGTGAAGCAAGGACCACTCCTACCCATAG